CCACTGCCCGTCCTTCACCCCATTGTGGGCCTGGCCGTTCCCATAATGGACCTGCTAAAAGAAGCTCTCTTAATGCCCACAGGATGATAAAAGTTTTAAAAAAAGTTACTATTTATTGCAAGGAAATGTCATTTAACTTTATATGTTTTCTGTTATAATGAAACGTTATTAATCTTAAATATTTTATACTCTCGAAACTGTCACACCTCCTGTTATGTACTAGCCTTTGGAGGTCCGAATATTTTTTATTTCTGTCACATCCCTCTATTTTTCCCCAAGTCTTTCTGAAATGATTTTTTCTTTCTTTCGTGTTTTAACATGCAGTCATCAAAACTAAGATATTAGCAGATAGTGATGCAATATCATCTCTACTTCTACACCAGTAGCCATGTTAATATTATGAAGACAAAGTTGCAGTTTTCTGCAACTCATGGAAATGTATCTGGTTTTTTATACCCTTAGCTATATTTATTTGTATTTACCGTCTTTTATGTTTCTCATTACTGTACAATTTTCATGTTTTTGAATAACTTTCGTATATAGTAGCGAGGTTGCGGCCGAAGTTTTCACATCGAGCGCCGCTTACAACATAGCGGCGCTTGACGTTCGACGTTCACGTTTGAGATGAAAACTTCGGCCACAACCTCGCTAGTTAGTATTTTTTCTCTTAATACTGAGCGTAATCAATGAATGTATAAGAAGTAACAAATCAAAATAAAGCATTAAACTTCAGTATTTATTTTTTGTATTTAGCATATATCAAAAAGAACATTTCATGCTATTAAAACATTTTTTCGTGTAGTTCGTTTCTATTACAAATGCATTATTTTTCAGTTTTGTCACTCTTCGCTTTTATCATCCACTCTTTCCAAGGACGAATTGGGTGGTAAAAAAGAGGAACGAGTGTACAAAGAAGCAGTAGCTTACAAGAAAAACTTTAATATAAATTTATTTGAATTTACTAATCAAACAACATCAGTTTTAAATAACTTATTTGTTGTTCTTTTAACTTAAATACACTACATCAGTTATTTTTTAAATTAATAATGAAACCATAATTTTACCTTTAGAACAAATAATAAATACGTAAAATGTAATAAAAATTTTAATACTAACTATTCTGTAAAACTAACTGCTTTTATTTATAGTTATAATAATAAATTAGTGATATAACATTAATGACTGATATATGTTAATTTAATTACTTCAAGCAAAAAATATCTGTATAATTATATAATGCATAAATTTAATGAAAATCCATGCAGATAATATTGATGTCATTTATAAAAATCTTGATCGCATAATATTGCTTTCGATTAAAGTTTCATTAACTACTTTCATTTCAATAAAAATAAAAATAAAAATTATTATATTAAAAGTATGTTAGCAATGCCTTTATGTCCTTAAATGTCTACTACAACTTCCTTATAATAATAGGGATTATTATGTCCTATTACTACGTAAGGAAGTTCTAGTAGACAATTATAAGAAATTCATTGAAAATATTTTAATGCAATTACACTTATATATTTTCGTATAATATGCAATATTGTATATACGGATGTCCATACATTTTTGTATTGTAAAATTTCTATTTTTGTAGAGAAACCTGGCTTAATGCATCGACTTTCAATACTCGTTATTTAATACATCTTAGTTATTAATAAATACAACGGTACTTACAAATAAAAACCTCTGGACGACCAATGAGGGAAAGATAAAAAAAAAACGGCCGTTGTTCGGAGATTACGCTGTAAGCATTTTTGTTCAAAAACAGAAAAAATGATTTAACGATTCGCCTGTATCTAATTTTTGTACTTGAACAGATGAGGAATTTTTACATAAAATTAGCATTAATTTCATTTCCTGTATAATTTATTCAGTGTGTAAAACTTTCATTTCAAATATATTTCCTCATAAGCTATAACCCGTATAAAATTCTTATCGAGAAATTCATAACAGTAAGTACTACAACCATTTGTATCTTTTTACTTAATATTTTATCAGCCTGTAACGAAAGACAAATTTAACTCATGTAAAATAGTTATTTTCTTTAAAAAAAAACGTTCAGAGAAACTATATCAGAAGATCTCTAAAGTTTAGAGAGCATTGTTTAGAGTCTAAACAATGCTGACATACTTTTGAATCGCATTCAAAAGGATTCAAGAGATTTTATTCCTGCCGGAACGAATCAGTATGTCCTTGTCTAGAATCGAATCCCCTTTGTTTCCTCTCCCCCTACACAAGAAAACCATTCTAATCAAGATCAAATTTATATTCGTTTGAAAGCACAGTAAAATGCAGAATTCCAATCTGCTACAATAAACTTATATTCATATTTTATTACAATTAATTTATATTAAAACAATAACGAAGTAAATGAAACATAAAATGTTTCAATAGGTAGCCATTTTAAATAAATACCTGCATAGATATAGTTTTTTCGTGTCTTCTAGTCTTCAGATTTTGTTTTCTTAACGGAACAATTCCAGTCATTTAGCATCTTGGTCAATGAAACTAATAGTTCATTGATAATGCCGTTTAATATCGGTAAACAAATTCTTTCGAAAAACAATATAAACCGGAATGACGTGAAATATATTCGAATAACCGGTATTTCGTTAGCTACACGAAAACGTATAATGTTACTCGCTCATAACTGTATCCGGTATGCTGAATAACGATGCCAAACAAATGAATCTACATTAGATATTTAATTATAAAAGCATGACAATTACATTTTGAGCGGTATATATTAACAAAATGCACATTTAAAGTAATATTGAAAATATTCCATTCTTTCTATGAATACTTATGAAAGGTTTCGTACTAATTACCCTATATCATAACTAATGTTTACAGGGTTTTTTTAAAATTCGTTATGAAATAATTGTTGCATCTATCGAGAAATACACAGATGTGTCCAAAATCAATAAATATATTCATTTGTTACTTATTCAAATATTAAAAAGAATATTTATCCTTAAAATGATTTTTTTAAAATAATTCTTATTTTAAAAAAGGCATAATTATGTTCTGTTGTCTTACAAGTTTACGCCATTAACCATATCTTAAAATGTAATTACTGTTCATTGGCAAGAAATGATATCCGACCTTGAAAATTTATTATGATAGAAAAGCTATTTTGATTAAAAATATAAAAAGAAAAAATATATAATCCCGTTACTGTATTTATGGAAACATTGTTTAGTAGTTAAAACAATCAAAAATATAATAATGTTTATCTTATAATTTTATTGCTTGATTTAATGAAATACAATAGAAAAATTTAGTGTTACCAATAAATATTAGTTTGTGATTTAATCAATGATTATGGCATACGCGTCGTCAGGGATATAAAATCGATTTTTGAATCAAGGACAGTTTACATACTGCGCATGTTCCTACATTGTTTGTAGCAGATTTTCTGGTTATGAAATTTTCGATCGTTGCAGTAATTCCGATAATTTGAATAGAAAAGAATTAAGTGCATTCAATTCGCTTTTTGCCTAAGTTTTTCCTTTTTCCTGCATCCTTCTCTGTATAGTATACAAAAAAAGTATAATATATACTTTTCTATGAAATATAAAAATAAATTTTTTAGTAAATTAAGAACTGTTTAATAACTCTATTCAAGGATACACAAAACTCCGACTTCCTTTTAGATACTTAGAGACGTTCTGTAATCGCGTATCTATTTATAAACACTAGAAAATTTTTAAATTTTACACTACATTCTTAAAAACAGACATATGCTAATAAAAGATTTTAATATGATTTTTTCTCAGAGATTTTCTTTTTTTTATATACTTTAAACATTTACAATTTATATTCAATTTATCTAAACTTTTAGATAATGAAGAACAGACCACAATTTAAAATTACAAAAAGTACTGTATAATTAAAGGATTAAAATTCAAAATCAAACGATCGCGATGCATTCTGGGAATTGACCGTTTACCCGTATGTTGTAACCTCCATACGGGTATTTTAAAGGAAATCTTATGCCGCAATATGTAATTGGTTGCGCATCTCTAATTAATTCTCAAACCAAATTACCTCACATATTGTCTCAAAAATTTTAAAAGTTTACGTCACTGAAAAAAAGAATAAGGAAAGCAAATAACAAACATATCTTTTTTTAAATTCTAAACAATCGAAAGACCTGAATGCATTAGAAAATAACGGTAACTCCGCTAACAATACGATAATTTACGTCACTATTTAATGAAAATGATTTCTATATAGTACGATTTTAATACATATGCAACATTAACCAAACATCAGATAATATATAAACACTAGAAAAATGTAAATAGAAAAACAATGCCAATTAATTTAACACATGAATAAAATAAACATACGACAGTTGACTTGTAGACGCAGTACATTTTCGGTATTGAATTTTCTGACCGTTGTCAATCCCGATATTACTCATTTTTTTTTTTTTTAAATTCACAATGAAATTAAATACACCATCGCATGAAAAACATCGTTTATGTTCCTTTATTTAAAATATCTGACTGATATTAATTACTGTGTAATTTACAACATTATTACATATTACCCATTTTTAATTCATCGGAACATATCTTTACGCTAGTCTTATGACTTTTTAAAAAGTACAAATTTGATAGCGATTTTCTAAATTATATAAAACATCTTCGATTTGCTTTAAAAAGAAAAAAATAAATAAATAAAAATTTAACATTTCATTTCTCATTCGGTTATCATGAAAATGGCCAGAATCGAAATAAAATCAGTAATAACTGGTAGTTAAATAAAATATAATAATTTTACACAATAATGTACATAAATATAATTATTGTAAAAATAGTCAAAAATATTTACACTTATATTCTATGAAATTTAAAAATATATTGAAGAAGCGAGAGCGCAAAAAGCCATGTGGAGACACTTTGTAACAGGAGATGCGGGAATCCGAAGCTATGTATGACCCATTTTATTTTCTCAATAATTCTGTTAAAACTGACACTTACCGTTAATGAAAGTAGTCATGCCATTTTCCTCACATAATAATTTCTGACTAGCATTTTTTGAGTAGCCATTTCTTCTTGAAAGTTTTCTTAAACTCGTATGAGTTGTCAATACACGTCTGGCTCTTATAATACTGTCCTCTTTGGCAATGATTTTCTTGTAATCAACTGTCCCTTCTGATGCATATTTTTGGGCCAACCTCATAACAGTTTTCCTTACTGGTGCCCATTTCGTTCGAAAATGAGCTTTAAATCTTCTTTGTGCTTCGGCTATACTTCCAGTCTGATTATAAAAGTTGACGATTCCCATCTTATGTTGCATGCTCAGCCTGAAGCCCGCCATCTTTGTTCTCCATTAGACAGATGATTATTTTGTTACTAGCTCTAGTGGTGCCATCTGATGTAGGAAAAATCATCGAGAGGGCAGAAGGTCATTGACACATTATGTTCGATCGTGTTAATATATATTAATAAACTTTCAGGATTATTGGGATGACATAAATTAATCGATCTGTTATTTGATCGATATTATATATATATAAAGTTGATAATATTGTTTACGATTTGGTAGCGGACGATTACATTAAAGTTTTATCTTGCGCATGCTCAGAAATGTCCTAATACTGTACATCATTATTTAAATTATTTCATTCATTTGATAAAAAGCCAAAACATTGCATTAGCACAATTATTTCCATATTCAGAAATTAGATGTTGAAAATCTTTTTTGACTGCAATAATTATATTTAAAATAAGAAATTGTAAAGAATATTTGTTAACGTTTTTAAACTCAAGTTGTTTTAAATCCACCAATCAGCGTGAATATAGACAAACCATCTATACATTCACAACACAGATATACATTCACAACACATACAGTACTGAACTTCTAAACGGTAATGAAAGAAAATAACCATTTGAAACTATACTAATTACAAACTTTTACGATTTATAATTTATGAAATAATATTTTTGTGTTTAATCATAAAAATTTCGCACCTTAACAGAGATAGACAAAAACGTAAAATGAAGTAACGATTTAGCTTTTAATTCTGCACATAAATACTGTACTTTTAGATACATTATTATTCTAATTTCTTACAATCAATTAGCCTAACCTTCGTTTAAATACTACATTTCTATACTTTTAGCTATTTATCGTAGCCTACTTAGGGCTCTCCATAAATGACGTCCACACTAGAATGAAAGAGAGGATTATGAAAAGAGGGACAAGGGAAGAGGAGGGGTTGAATTTTAATGGCATCCGTTTTATTTCATTAAATTTTCTACAGTTTCAGCATTTTATTATTCATAAAGTGATAAAGGTTTTGAGGAGGGTTGAGTTTTGTTGGACTTCCGAAGAGGGATTACAAAACTTGGAGAAACTAGGCAGGCATGGCCAACATACGGTCCGCGGGCCAGATCCGGTCCGTCTAATAAATTTATGTGGCCCGCGATCAATCTTTTAATAGTAGTTACTGAAGTCCGAATAGCTCGATGAAAAATTCTGACGCCTAAAAAAAAATGGTCAACAACAGCTATGCGTTTAGAGTTAACTCTCCACCCTCCATTACAAGTCTCTTAAGTACTGTACAGCGTAGTGTGTTGATAAAGCACGATAATGTGAAAAATGTATCTGTAATCTCTATGTACAATTTAGTCTCTACGGCAGTGGTTCTCAAAGCGGGTGCCGCGGCACCTTAGGGTGCCTCAAGTACGCCACAAGGGTGCCCCGAAATTTTTAAATAATTAAATTAAAATTACTTAAAAAATAATTGAATTAAAGTATTAAATTAAATAAATAATTAAAACAATTATAAAAAAAAAATGAATATTGGTTTTTTTCTACTAATCTTGTTACAACGCCACTTGTCTTAGTGACTCGGTAATTGGCGACACGTAAATACTAGAAACAAAACGAACTAGTTACCAGTTGTCTGTTCTTCTGTTCCTGCAACGAGTAGAAGTGTAATATTGTTGAATGCAGTAAGGAGTTGTTTTTATTATTGTTATATGTTCAGACAATAACGAAAAAGCATCATATACAAATATTTTTTCTTCTTTACAGCAAGAAAAAATAAATTATTAAATTGTAATTAAATTTTATAATAAAATATTGAAGTTAATCATGTCGTTAAATATCACGAATAATTTTTTCATTAAAAAAAGAAAACGTGAAGATTCTAATGATCAAGAAGTAGTTACTGGTAGAAAAGCTAAGGAATCAATTAGCACTAGTAAATCATCAAAAATTGAGAGCTCTATTAGTGAAGATTTGACTATTTTTAACGTTGAGCAAGCATTATTGAAATAAAAGAAACAGAAACAGTAAGTTCTCGTAAAAAATATTGCAATAAAAAAGAATGTAAAAACTCGCTTACATCAAGACAGTTACCTAAAAATGGGATTTACCTGGTGTGGTGATAAATTAATTTTCAGACCAAAATGTATTCTGTGTGGTTTGATTTTATCAAATGAAGCTATGGTTTCCAGTAAATTATTGCGACACTTCTCCACAAAATATGATCACTTGTCTAAAAACCTCTTGAATATTTTAAAGATCTGATAAAATTACAAGAAAAACAAAGTAAAAGTTTTGTTAAAAAAATATACAATTGCTGACCGTGTTCAAGAAGCCAGTTATTTAGTCGCAGAAATAATCGCGAGAGAAATGAAGCCTCATACTATTGGCGAAACTTTGATGCGCCCGGCCTATACAGCAATTGTGAGAACAATTTTTGGTGCTGAAGCAGAAGAAGAAATAAAAATGATTCCTTCGTCAAATGACACTATGAGTAGACGTATTAGTGATATTGAAAAATCAGTTATAAATAAAATAATCGAATCGAAATTATTTAGTTTGCAGTTGGATGAGTCAACTGATATCGGTGGTAAAGCGCAATTACTAAAAGTTATAATAATAACTTTTGTTTTGAATGTTTTTGTGTTGTTTGGAAATAAACTTACTTACTTTAAAAAACTTTTATTTTTTTCAAAGACTTCTCATCCTTCATATCTTTACTAACCGTAAAAAAGCAAAACAAAAGAAAAAGAAAATAATAATAATAATAGGTGTGCCGTGAATTTTGTTTAATAATTTCAGTGTGCCACCAGACAAAAAAGTTTGAGAAACACTGCTCTACGGGGTGACACCACAATGAGATCTCGAACCACCTCAAAATCTTCCTAGGGCAGCCTCAGGTTCGACCCTTGGAAAAGGTTTTCTTTCCAATTCGGCCCAGGGACAAAAACTGTTGGCACCCCCTGAACTAGGACAATGGGGGAGGAGGAGTAAAAATTTCAAGAAAAATGAGGACATAATTTATGGACAGCCCCTTATTTATAATACAGAACATAGTAAATAGTTAATATTTAATATTTCTAGTATTAACTAGTTTATACTGTAGTTTCTGAACCAGGTTTGGACGCTTCCCATCCTGTTATGTACCATGTTGTACATTTTGGCAACCCGTTTTAATTACGTGCATGATAGTTCAAGAATTCCCTAAGATTGAAGAAATGATAGAAAATACCGATATTTGCAGAACTTTCTTGACTGTTTATTCACACGACTAGTAACTTGACGTAAGAACAAATTCGTATGCCACTAATCTATACTAATATTATAAAGGTAATGTTTGTAAGTATGTATGTAAGTTTGTTTGCAGCAGGTAATCTCCGAAACTACTCATCCGATTTCAAAAATTCTTTCACCAATATTTAGAATGGAACTTCAGGGTGGACATAGGCTGTATATTATTCCGTTAAACATTCATATAAATTAAAAGATATAATCTAGGTTAAGGCTTTTATGTCCAATAGATGGCGCTACGAGTACGACGCCCTAAGTTTGCTTTTCTGTGAGGCATTATGCTTTTCTGTGAAAATGAACTAAAGCAGATCATCATCTATCTATCTATATAAATAAAAATGTAATGTTCGTTTGTTCCTACCGATTCCTTTGAAATTTTGACACAACGCTGCATTCGAATACGCAAGTGTTTTTATATAATATACGTGTCGAAATTCTCCCCACTGAAGGGTTATGGTTAGGATTAAGGCTTACCGTAAAGAAGTCTGCTTCTATTTATACTATTTTATTTTTGCGTTTTTGATTGCGTTTTAATAAGGTACGTCAACAGAATGTACACTAAGAAGAAATTTTTCGAAAAATTTTCTCCCCCCACGGGGAAGTGTTATAAATTTATAATAGATACATTTTGAGCCACAGCAACGCGTGGCGGGGTCTGCTAGTATCAAAAGAGCCACACTGCCTCTATCTCCTTCCTCTCCATCGTGTACAATACTTTTCACGATCTTCCCTTCTCGCAAACTGTACACATAATTAATAGATGGTCTTTTACACAAAATTAACCTGTTATTATAAATAGCTTGATCATTAATGTCTAGACAATGATGACGAATCTGTGACCCGCGAGACGATTTCAAGGTAGCCGCATTGAATGTTTAGAAAATATTAAGATTTTATAATTATGTAGTTTCTAAATCTACCAAATATTGTTTTATATGTAGTCTGAAAGACTACAAATAAAAAAAAACGTGTAAACGTGCTCTTAGGACTTTGCTTTTAGTTGGGTCCTAAGTGCACGTTCATACCAGCGACTTTTAGTCGCGCTACAAAAAAATCGCTAGTCTCCGCTTCTTGCGATTAATCACATACTCAACCACATGAGCGCAGGGGTCGCTCTGCGCTCGTGTGGTTATGCGCTCTGCGCACAGCGCCAAAATCGCCACTTGGAGATATTTTTATTAAAATGGTAACGAAAATATAATACTGGTGATAAATCCTAGTCCGCTTGTTTCGACATTCAGTGTGAAATTGAATCACAAATCAGGAAAAACAGAAAAATATCGAGCTTCCGTACAATGGGATACCCGTGCACCACACATCTAGCGATTTCATGACGTCACGTGGCAAGTTCGGGAAGAAAAGTAGGAAATGACGTCGAGAACCGAAGGCAGTTTTGCGCAATACCACCAAGTGTTTCCAAATTGGGATTTTTATCGACCGACAGAAATTTTAGGGAATTTTTTAGGATGAATTTTATCACTCTGATCTTTTTTTAGTAGACTAAAACAAAAATTTTGACACGACAGAACCTGTGAAATACTGTTTAAACATTGTGATCAAATGTGTTATTCGGAATTATTCATTAAAAAATTATTTTAAAATGGTTCCTATTGCTAATAAGGGGATGGCCAGACGTTCAGGTCTCCGATTCGAACGAAACTTTGTGAGCGCGTAGCCCTAAACACAAACAACACGTCGTCCACATAATAAAACCCACTTCCAAAGCTTTTCCAAAACTTGTGCTTCTGAAAATTTAGGGTTTCGCTTATAGGGTTCTTTGGAAGTTTCAAGTCCCAGAATGGCGATAGCCGCGTGAATAAGACGCTAAGTACAGTAACTGGAGCTAGATGATGTAAGTTCAGAGTTTGGGTTTAGTTTAGTTAATTCTAAGCGTAACTTTATTATTTTACCGCATCATCATGATTATTGTTATTATTATTCCTCACGTTTAAACCTTATAAAACAAGAAATTAAAAATTATGATGTCATTTCCTGTTTAGCGAAAACAAGTTTATCTAGATTTAACTCTTTTATGCCGTTAAATAAAACTTATTTCTTTACATTGATTTTGACATATTTTACATAGTATGTCCTCACAAGCGAATAAGCATCAGACGTTACTGCACATGGACGTAAAAGACGAGTGATATAAAAATGGGTAGCAAGTCGCAGTGTTTTATTTTTTAAATAAAATTGTTAATATTATGCAAAATTTCCTCCTGCGCTCATGTTTGTTACACTGCGAATGTCACAATACCACCATATCTAAAAATAAATATGAAAATTTTTATTTAATAATGTAAGAGTTAAATCTACAGAGGCTCGTTTTCCGTAAACGGGAAATGACGTCACACTTTTTAATTTCTTGTTTTATAAGCTTTAAATGTAAGGAATAAAAATAGTAATAATAATGCTAATAAATAATAATAACGC